CTTAGTGGAAGTTAGTTAGGTGTAATAGTTACTTTAGTCTTAAACCGCCCGGGTAGAGTAGACTAGAACAGGGACAACAAAGGGAAAGGCAGCGACACACAAGTGTGTCGAGTACCATTTCCCTCTGTGACCCTAATTAGAGGGGGGGTTAGAGAACTCGGCGGGGGTTTATTCTCCGTATGCCCGGCGGCTTCGAATCTCCGTAAAACCCGGCGGTGTTGTCAGGAAATTCAGTGGGTGAGAAGAACATCAGAAAAGATAATCCAACGTGTGCAGGAAACAGCAGATTCAGTTAGATGGTACTCCGGAATGATCTCGGCGCCCCAGTGACGGGGATCACACTCTGCACCCAGTGGGACGACAGAGCGGCGCACACTTAGACAACTGGTTTGCAGTTAACTCTGTTCCTCAGTGAAATGAACGATGGAACCGCAAGGTGGCAAAGTCAGCTCATTTGGATAGTTTAACAAAGTGTTCACTTGTCTGCAGTCGCGCGGCAGCTGAAAGCGGCGGAAGGAAAATGTTTTGGGGGAAGTGTCGTGCAAGAACCATGAACCAAGAAAAGGGAGAAGTAGAGTCACGGCGTTGACAAAAGTTCAAAAGTTGCATGTACACGGAAGTCATCAGCTTCCACTTCCTAGGATCTTGCAAGGAGCTTCGTTGGGCAGAGCCTTGCCAGTCCTCTCTGCCCCCCTGCAACTCATGTGTGACGAGCAAAACTCTTAGAAACAGAGTGTGACACACACACACACCAAAAAAAAAGGATTAGTGTACAACGTGGGTATGTATTTATGAAATTTACTGTATGGTAGGTGGGTTACGGTGGGTTTGTAGTTTCCAACCTTCAGTCTATTGTAGTCTGGTTGCTAAGCAAGTACACCCGGGAAGACTAACATGGACCCTGAAAACCAGTGGTTGGTAGAGGAAAACACTCTTCTACGGGGCCATTGTCAGGGTCTATGTTAGTTTTCGGGAGTGTAAACAGTGACGACAGTGACTCGGCCATCATGAGTCTGTCTCTGCTCCTTGCCCCACGCAGCAACAAGGCTGGCGGTCCCATCGCTGGAGACAGTCAAGAGACCGGCATCAGAGGCCTCACACGGTCGCAAAATGACGCAACATCCCCATGATTATGGGTCTCCCATTCTCCATGCACAGGTCCATGTGCCACATCCATTTTGTCAAGGGGCCTAGGGCGCCTGGATGGTCCTTCAGTCCCTTTCGGGGACTGGTTACGTTTCGTTTCGGGGGAAAGCAATAACACCTTGCAGCAAACACTGAAACGAATAGACATGACCTTGAAAAAGGTGTGAACCTCTTTGCTGATACTGCAGTATGAAGCCATGTGAGTTTACATGACTTGATCAAGCAACTGCCAGTATCCCTTACAATCCACGCAAAGGTAGTTCATCCCGGGGGCAATACGCATGAAAGAAGTAAGCTCCTCTCCAAATGCTTGATTTAACAGCTGACCAGTTGCTATGTCTCAGAACAGCCAGCCGGCCCCCCCAGAAACTAGCAAGAAACACTAGAAACTAGAACCCATTGATTTGGGATCTCCCATTCAAAGCCACATCCATGACCAAAGGTCCATGTGCCACGACTTTCAGCAAGCCCTGGCCTGCAAGCACCTTACATCCGGGGCAGTTGAGGCGTTGCTCACCACACGCCCTGCCGAAGCGCCATCGTTGTGCATGGAATCGACATCGTATGACCCTGGCCCCTTCGGATTAAATCTACTTGCCCTTTGCTTGTTCCTCATGCGGATAAGATCTTCTCTGGAGAATGCCACTGCAAATCACTGCGACTATGGGACCCAGCTCCGTGGTTGACCCACCAACATGAACAAACTCCGCCTGATCCCAGGGACTGCAGGGTAGGTTGGGTCATACACACAACAACTAAGTTATTCACAGGCAGCCAAGCAGTCACGCGTCGGCTAGGAAGCTGGTGGCACATGTCGTGCTGCCAGGTAAGAGGCTAAGTATGTACCAAAAACAACATATTAAACAAGAAGTTTGGAAATGTGTTGGACTCATCCTCCGGTTGGGGTTCTTGCATTCATGCTTGCTTCATGGTTGATTGACTGCGCGCGGTCGCCGGTCGTTCGCCGTTCGCCGTCGCCTGCGGCATCCCTCAGCTCCAAAGCGCCGGAGGCATAGGCCACGGCCACAGCATCCTCCCCCCGCTCGACAGGGTTGATGGGTTATTAACAGTCACTCAGCGGAATATTCCTTTAAGATCCTTTAAGAATCATTCAGTCTTTAAGAACCCATAACAAGCCTATGTTCATTATGTTCATTTCGTATGCCAAGTCCTAGGTGGCTTTGGTGCCTCACCAGCGCCTCTATTTTTTCCAGGGTGAAATCGGAGCGCTGAAGCAACATGTGGTGCAGCAAAGGTCACGACAGGGTGGGTTGCCTAATGCCAGGTGGACAAGAAATTACGTTGAGATCCAGTTGAACAACCTGGCTTGGACTCCTAGTGTTAACTGTTGATTCATCAAAGCCTCAGGTCTCCAGACAGGTTAGACCCATCTCCATCAATCAACGGCCAAAAAACAGTAATTAAACATGCTAGACCCAATTCAGCCTTGTGGCAGGTTGCTTCTTGAGTGCGAAAGTCAAACGACCTTCTTCGAGGCTGGAGGATGGCATGATCCCTGATCTCCCAGTGGTGGGAAAAAGGGACTCCAGAAGGACAAAGCTGACCTTTGGTACTCATTTCACTGAATGGTCTGTGTTTGGCTTGCTTCCTTTAAAGCATGTTAAAACCATTAGTTGGTTTGCCATGTGCCATTGAATGGACACACGAAACACGGCCAGCCCCACTCCCTTTGCGACTCACGGCTCGGAGACTCTCCACCTCTGAGTAGTTTGGCCCAGCCCAGCAAAGTCGCTGCACCGCTTCGCCCCTTCGGCGATCGCCCAAGCGTTCCACCTGCCCGTTGAAAGGCGAAGAGAGGCGAAACGGACTCAGCGTTTGAGAGGTTCACATGGAGTCTCAAACGTACCTGTTGGACAACGAACAAACATCCAGTTGTAAAGGAAACAAACGACTACAAGCAAATACACAAACAAAACAATACACACTATGACAAAAAACAATACACACTATGTGTTCTAGCTGAGAAATGTTTAGTTTTTTCTTCTGGGTGGACTGTCAATTGACTTTGGGAGTTGCCTCGTAGTATTTTGGGTTTAACGTCAGATTATGTTAAACTATTAATGGTGTGTGTGTGTGTGTTGACATTATGTATTTGACTGACAATTCTCTCATTTAGTTGTGTTTAGAACAGTTCTGTGGACTAAGCGCCCTTTTGCAAAATTTCAAGGGTGCAAGTATGGCAGTCCTCAGAAGCGGTTGAGGGGGTTGAGCTCCACAGGAATTTAAATGCTCATGCACCAGCATGCCAGCATGTCCAAAGTATTTTACACTAAAGCTCTGATCTCTTTTCTTATGCACTGGAAAAAGTCACTGGCACGCATGATCAATCAATGGCGAAAACACACTACATACCCCTTGCACCTAGATGATCTAGAAGTCAAAATACATTCCTCCTTCAGGGTGAGTATAAAAACGAGATAAATAGAATCTTCTGAAAGTTTCCCAAAACCATTTCACCAACACTTTGGGACCCAGAAAAAGGTCTTTCTGTGACTTCCTGCGACGACTTCTGTCGCTCAGGAAACTCGGCGATGAGTTGGGGAGGAAGCGCCTTCTGCTTCTCCACGTGAATGACTTTGATGAGGCCAGTGTCATCGCCGGTGAGGAATTTCATGACGTCATACGGTGCCCCCAAAGCCAAAAAAGAATGGGAATGCCCCGGAATGCCCCTAAGGCAACAACAAGTGGCTAGTCCTTTAAAGTGTGTCAAAAAGAGTTCTTGTCTAACCACACAACAACAGCCATTCCCCTCTCATGTCCTTGTCTAACTGAAATCTTGGCCGGGTCTCGACAGAATGTCCGTTCTTGGCAGGACTCTAACGCGGATTTACAGGAGATGTTCACCCTTCCAAGTTTGCTTTGGACCAATCAAACTCCTGGATGTCTGCGTTCTGGTTGCGTGGGTCGCGAGTCTCAAGTAGCACGGAAACTTTGAGAGCGGAAAGTCGCTTCAAAGGGTTTCTTGAACCGAAGTGCTACACATGGGACACCATTCTGCATGTGAAAACGTACTGGCCTGACCCTTTGGAAGATCAGTATGCTTTCGACTGCCCGCTACCCATTCTTCCCCACTACTTGGTCTTGAACTGGTTTCCTAGTTCCCCAGAAGTTGAAACATCTGAAAAGATTGAAGGAGTTGGGACTTGAATGGTGATGGTCCATCTGAATTCCAGTAATATGTGGCCAACTTGAAATTGTTTTACTCTATGAATTTCATTGAATTTCTGTATGGTTATACAGTAATACTTTTTATATAATGATGCTAGTAACTGTACATTAGATCCTTTGTGACCATCAATACAGTAGTACTTACAGTCGCATATTTTGCCATGGCCTTTCAAATCAGAGTGGCAAAGGAGGATGTGAATGCAATACAAAGAATGCTGAAGGAAATCAGGATAATCATGGCCTGTGCATGGCCCACAACACATTTTAGGGAACACACACATGTCTACCTGTCCAGTTCTGTAGCAGTCCCCCTGCTCGGACATGTTTAACGCATGCGTGCGCAATTGGCACGCTGGTCGTCCGAGCGAAACTGTTTCGCTCCATCAACTCCAACAGGTTTTGGCAAAAAAACAGCGCTAAACCTATAGGGTTGAGACAAGCGTGCATCCCACGCATTCTTTTTATTCACACGAGGCAGCAAAAAGAACAAGCAAAAGGGCCGCACCGGTCTGCTTACTAAGCATGTCAAGGCGTTGGATACACTGACTTCAAATTGGGCTGTCCTGTTTGGCTCTTAAATGCCAAAGGCGAAGACCACATTATCCTGTACGCTTTCAAACGAGGGGAATGTCTGGCCAAGTGCGCAGTACATGCCCAGCAAACGCTCAATCTGCCAGCCTTAAACACGAAAGCAGGTCTATTCAGGCAAAAAACATGTTTTCGAGGTGTGTTCCTCTTTTTTCTCTCCAAAGGTGACAGAGGTGTGTAAAACCGTTTCTGTGTTGATTCATCGGCGGCAACCAAATGCAACCACCTTGATTGACTCACACATTCAGATCATCTGACTTCTCACATATCTTGTGGTTGTTGCCGAAAACTGATAGACCTCAATAAACCCTGGTGGCAAAAAAAAACACAATCATGTGACCATGTGGCCAACCGCAATTCCAAGAAAGAAAACACATCCACACATCCATCCACCGTTTCTGTCCACGTTACGCATGACTTGAAGTAATTACATGCCCACTGTGGCTGCGTTTAGTGCCTTCTCGCACCGATGGGCAAAGACCCCGGAGAAATTGCGAAAAAACGGAGAACGGCACAATCAATCTGACAGGTGATTATCTCCATGCAATGCAATAGTTCACATTTGTTGTTTGTCCTCGCATAAAATTCAAACTGGGAGGTCTTTTTGCATGTTGTTTCTGAATGCGTTGGGCCAGCTTTTGGATGCTTTTGGTCCCTCCTTTCTCCACAGAGTCGCTCGACCACATCCACAGCCGCATGCATGCCGGGGCACATGGTCTTCAACGGTTCGGCGACCTGAAAGTCGAAGCCTGTGGCCTCCCTGACCGCGTCCACAGTGGTATCTGCCAAAAACGGGCGCCGGTGCCGGTACCCCGGTCCGGCAGATACCGCCGAAAACATATCGAGTGTATCCGGGTGTGGGGTGCAAGGAGGATAGATCAGAAAATCCAAAACGTCAAAGATTCGCAAAAAGGCGGATCTCCACCAAAGGGGGGTTGCGCCATCGTGAACCAAAATGGTTCTGGAGACACATGCTGGGAAACTCGCACTTGCTAAGACACATTAAAAGGTCTAGAATGACCTAAAGAAAAAGGTCTACAACGCCCATCGACCTTGTCTACTCAGGACCCTGGGGCCCTCCCATTCTAGACCCTTAGTAGTTGGGGGTATAAGATGGTATAAGCATTCCGCCTACCCCGGCCTAGCCAACGCCAAGACGGGGCCTCGCTCTTATGTCATGTCAGTGCCTTGTATCTGTCCTCGAGGAGCTGCAAGACTAAGACTTCATTTGTCATTGTTTAGCTGGCGACTTGTGCAATACTTTCGACATGCTAGCGTGGGGGAAAGGTTGCTGTAAAGGACAACCCGGCCTCGTACTACGCGCTGTTGACAGATTTTCAAAGCAATGGGTCTTTTTATTAACAGAAATGACTGTTTCACTACGTGCAATCAGATGGGTTCTACCGAACCATCGAGCTTGCACTTACTTGTTGCAAGGATGCTGCTCTGCGCCCTAGACTTTCCTAAATGGCTCTTACACATGGTGTACACGATGAATGCTACTTGAACGTCTGGCAGAAGCCTCTGTCAGGTAGGCATGACCGTCTGTTGCGGGTGGCCCAGGGTAGTCCATGAGCCGCCCACATGTGGCTGTGGGTCAAAATTCGGGGATGGATCGTTCCGCGGTGATCCGGACGCAGGGTATGTGGTTCTTGGGACCCAACCACTAAACATTGCAGTTCATCCATTGATTGTCCCCCTGCTCTGGTGGCCTTGGGTTTGCTCTCAAGTTCAAAGCACATTCATAAAGAGCCAATCATAGAAGAAAACACATTTTGAGGGCAATTGTTACCACTTTAGATCACTTTAGGCCAGCATCGGCTACGCATTGTTATTGAAGGGTTGGGTTATGTCACATCAGTGCGTGTGAAGTAGCATCACTGCATGGCCACGCGTGGAAGCGTGAAGTCACATCAGCACGTGTGAAGTCACATCATGTTGTCTCAATCACCATGGCCACGCGTTCACAACCTATGTTTGGAGATTGACTTGTTTGGAGCCCACGCCTGTAAATTTACATGGTTTTCACTTTGGAATATACAAAAATGGACTACTGATCAGAGTTGCATCCCAATGCCCACGCGGTTTGGAAGATGAGGTTGTATGGTGCCAGGGATCTGGTGTTGGCGACAAAGCGCAAGAACTAGACTCAGAAACTCTGACCCTCAGGAGATCCATGGGGGTTAGACGTCGAACTTGTCAGAGACGCTTGGTCTCGTGCTTGCTGGCGGCTCAGTTTTCTCCGTTTCACCTCACAGGCTTTGCAAAACTTGCCGCTGCCATTGGCTCTCCATGCCACTTGAGAACGAGGAAGGCCGCAAGATCGACATGTCGGGTCCAACTCTTTGGTCCGCACACCACATGGATTTCTGTTGCGGTTCACCTTTGTCCGACGTGCGACAGGCTTCTTTTCCGGCTGCGACCTCGAACAGCTGAAGCCAACGTTCGCACAGAGCGCGCACCAGCAGCCCGACATAATGCCCTCATGTCTCAGCGCTTCTGGGTCCACTCTTTTGTGCGCTGCTTGAGCACGTCCTTGCTGGCCACCATCGCTCAAGTGACTAGACACACAGAGACACTCAGGCGCCCAGAGCTTTGAGCAGAACTGGAGCACCAGTTCGGTGAGGCAAGCGCTGCACACAAAGCAATGAAGTGTTCGAGCGAGCGAGAACAGTTGGAACAAATCTGCTCCTACCAGAGCTTCGCATCCTCCTTCTGCAAGCATGGGCGCAGACTCAGTGGCGAAAAAGGCCATGTCATGTGCGACAGCAATTGTCTTGAAGAGGTTAAGAAGATCACTGGCAAAGCAAATGAGAACCCAGCGCTACTAAATGGCTCACAAGATTCCCCTTTCACCGGAGTGACTGGTACCTCAAATTCATCCAGCCCCAATGTGCGTCAGCAATTGCTTGCAATGGAGCTGAAAAACCGGCGCTACTAGATGGCTCAGATTCCCCTGTCACAGGAGCCACCAGTACCTGGAATTCATCTGGCTTGAACATGTCTCGAAACAAAGAGGCAAAGCCATTGGGAGCCTGACGCTATTGCATGGCTTGGAAATTTCCCTTTGTCAGAAGCCACCGGCACCTCAAAGTCATCTGCAGGAGATGGCTGTTCCCCGACAACAAAACTGACAACGTCTGACTTTGAGAAGCTCACACTCAACTCCTTTCCAGAAGTTGTCTCCATCCACTGCGCCTGCGCGCCAAAAGAAATGCGGACACGTTTGATAACAGTCAACAGTCATTTGTCACAACGTCCTTCCATGTTTCTCCCTCACCTGTCCATTTTCCATGTGCTTTCTCAACGAAGAAACAGCACATAGAAAATTGACCTGTCTGCCTGGCGTCATATCGTGTCATCACTTGTGCCTTCGTCGGTGGCTCTAGCAAACCCTTACTTTGCGCATAACGTTGCGCTTCACGAAAGGACCGCAAAGGTTTGGAACTATCAGGCGGAGCCCAATACCCTCAGGCGAATCGATCGTAAAACAACAGCTCTTGACCGGACTGCGAACACACATCAAGCAAAATCGAAAACTCTTGCAAAAATAGAAAAGCTCATTCAAACCTGGCAGGCTGCAATCCACTGTCCACTGTTCCTATCGTTTTTCCAGTGGATCTCATTGTCGAGAACAAGGTCCATTCTGCCACAGCTTGTGCAGCCATGTCCCCCACACGGCTCTGGCGCTGTGGTCTAAGTAGAAAAGAAAAGGCATCAACAAGCTTTTGGTTGACATCGTAGGAAGTTAGTTTCAGGTATGCCTGAGCTTGCCTGATCATTCTGGTGATGGCGCAGTCTTGGTCATTGATTTGGTTTTGCAGTTGCGCATGTAATGCGTTCTCTGAGAACTCCTTTGTGTGCCTGTCTGTCTCGACAAAGTAGCTGCGCTAATGCGATTCGGAAATGCAGGTGCCAATGCAGAAGTCTTTGCCCAAAACAGTTCATGTCAGAGATAGTGACCTTGGAACAAATTACACTCAAAGCTAATTCCCCATGTCACAGCTGAAATGCTGCCTGGGATTCAGTAAATGCCCACATGTGGTCTTGTGGAAACAGCCGCGCCAATGCGCTTTGTGGGACAACAGGTGAATGTCATACATACTTAAGTTGAACCAGGGTTACACCTACAACCCAGTTCCCCAAGGCCACGCCGTCACGATGCGACTTTACACATGTTGATGCGACTTAAGTCTACCCCCGAGTACCACTATAGATCCTCAACAACGGTAAACTCTCGCAAAATCCATTACAAAACAATCGTTAAAGTATGTTTTCTAAACATATTGTAACTATCTTGCATTTGTGCGCCTTGGACACACAACCACATTGGTCCATTGATCCACCACCGGTGGAGCCATGGCACCATGGCACCAGCCATGGCACCATGGGACGACTGTCCAAATCGGTGCCTGGAGCGATCTCCATTAGTGTGGGAGGCGCCTGGAGCGCTCAACCGGTGTCTAGCGAAGAAGCATAGAACCTCTGGCCCCACTTCCAACTGTGATATCTTCACCGGCAGGATCTTCGGACTCTTTTTGGGATTGGCCTACGACCGATGATCAAGCTTATTGGTTTGTAGGTGGATGATGCTTCCAGTTCCTATATATGGCCCAACACTGCACTCGCCTGAATTTCAGCGTTTTTGCTTAGGTACAAAATGGATCAAAATGGTACAGTACATGCTTACATTGGGTACATTGCGGAAAGAATTCTCCAGATAGTTGCTAGGATTGGGGATGTTCTCCGAGTTTGCCATGAATCATCGAAACGCTACCCAAGGATCCTGCATCAAGGCCGTGAAATGTGTATATAATAGAGAGATCAATAATAATAGTAATTGACTAGACTATATATACCAGAGCGGTACATGCTTGGGCCGAGGGTACATAGCAAAAACACGTCTGATTGGGTGGTGAGAAAGGCTATTGCATGGACCACATGCACAAAAATGCATGGTCCTGGCCCCGGCATAAAATGGATTCTCCTGGACATCTCTTTGAAAGGGAGAGGATCTCCTAAACCAATCGAGATCCATTGAGATCCATTCATCCACTGAGCACGACCCGAGGGTTGGAATTCCACCTCGGCCCCCTCGGTGACAAAGTCAAAGACGGCCATGTCGGTGATACATCGGTCGACGACCTTCGAGCTGCCGTGATGAGCGGAAGGAAGGGGGGTGCACGGACCACAACACTGGCTTGGCCCATATAATTCGACACCCAATCACCCAGCCGGATTAATACATGTACTGTCAAATTTAGAAACTCTTAGGACAGCCTAAATAAAGTTCATCCCAGGTTCCAAGAAATAATTATACAATAAACTCTTTTCCTCTTTCTTCGCGCCATAGGCTCTTGCCCGCGACTGGTGGCGTGCGCCTAATTAAAAATCATCCATGGAAATCGGGCCCCATTGACGCGGTCTCATCGAAACTCCGCGTCAACTCCCTAACTGCCTGAAGAAATTCCTTCGGAATTTCTTGGCACGGGGCATCTCCGTGGCCTTTTTGGCCTTCCAGGATCACACGACAAATGGCTTTGCAAAAATCAGCTGGGTACTGCTTAAGCTCAGAAGTGCGCCAACTGCCATCTACGTGCCGTCCAATGGCTGCATACTTCGGAAGTGCAGTTGTCCGCAGCGAGTGTAACAAAGCGTCATTGTCGGTCGCACCGTTTGCAATCAGGAGGAAGCCTTCCCACCGTAGTGCCCTTGCATAACGGTAACTTTCTGACAGTTGCGAAAGCGGCATAGATATCGAGTAATCTCAAGTCGCCAGATGCTTGGGCTATTCTGGTGAGTGTCCCCATCAGCTGGGTGCTCAAGCACACCTGTTGCACCACAAAGCAAAGAAAGGAGCATCAACCGGAACGAAATGCCCAACAGCATACTACCAACTGTCACTTGTCTGTGTTCCTTGTACGTGAGGTTATGCAAGCCATATGGAAACCCTCGGCGTCTCACTGGGCGGGGTCCGCCCTGCACGTGGTTCTCTCGTGCACGAGACCACGTTTCACAGGGGGGTCCCGCCACCCATGCTCTCAGGATTCCAAGGCGCAGTGCCTCAGTAAAAAAGTGGAATGTGGTGGGGTTGTTGAGGTCTCCCCATTCACGGTCGAAAATGATGTCGATGGACAGTGCCATCCATGCATGCTCTTCCATGACATGTTGGATGTCAAAAGGCCTCCGTGTGCCTGAAAAGAGATGCGCCATGACCTTGGGACGATAGGCCATGCGTGCTGGGACATCATATCGAATTTCATCTAATTGATCAGATTGTCGTTGGAAAAACTCCATCGCTGTGTCTTCCTTGCGCATGCAAGACTTTAGACCTGTCAGGAACCATTCACTGCTAGCCGAGGAAGTGAAAACACGAAAAACCATAAGATCGTGGAGTGTCGCATCTTCTGCTTCAGCCATACAGCTTTGGCTCCATTCAGCAAAAAGGGCCAGGATCTCTTTGTGGTAGAGACATGTGCTCAGGGTGGCCTGCCTTAAACATTCCACAAGGGCTCCCGTCCCTCGATGACTCGAAAAGGCAGCCTGCCACTTCTCAAGCAATTCATCTTGCCACTGTTGAATCTGTGTCACAATGACTGCAATTGGCCCATCAGGAATTCTGGGTCCTTCAGCTTGCATACAAGGATCTGGCAGCTCTGGGCAGCTGGCGTTCTCAGCGGCACTATTCACGCCAGGTTGCCGAGTCACAAAAGCTCCACGGGCAGTGTAGAAAGCCAAACAATCATGACCTCGGTTTACGTGATTGAGAAGCCCAGTATGCCGTGAAAACACTTTTAGACATGCTTCACATGTGGTGCCAGTTACGAAATCTCGTGCTGGAGTAGCACGGTCGTGCTTTTTAAAGGCATGTACTGCGCATGCGGCTGCTCCCGAGAAGGTTCGGCGGCAGGCCAAACAGTAGTGGTCTTCAGCAAGAGAAGCAACTTCCTGGCCAGTGATCAGGCCAGCTTGCAGGATGTCCTGATAGATCACGCTGTGCCATCCATACCATTCAAATCTTCTCGAGGCAAATGCTTTGCATCTCGCAATGGCTCTGCGGATTGCTGCTTTCCATCGCTTTCCTGCAGTTTGCAGGCATTCACAGAAATCGGACCATTCTGATCTAAAATCAGGAAGTTCGAACTCTGGGCAATACATCTGCATCCATGCCAGATCGTCTTCAACCAGTGTCCACCAACTATGTTCCGTGTTGATGAGGGACCAAGTATGGTCCTCGCCATGCTGGATCAGGTGGCAAAGATATCGCAATCTTGCGACCCGTAGAGTCTCACACGCTGGCAGAAGCTGGAAATCGTGGATAATGCGGTCGAGAGGCCATTCAATCGCTTTTTTCCCATAGTGCATCACAGCCAGACGCTTGAACAGGCGTGCAAACCCTGCATCAAGTTGCTTCATTTGTCTTTTGGTTGGCGGTTGCCAAATAGCACAGTTGAAAACGATGGTTGACAACACCAGCGACTCAAAAAACTGGCGTTTCCTCTCGACTGTCATAGCCCGGTTGCAAAAGATCTGTGACCGGTACTGTGTCATAATGTTGTGCGCAGCAGCAAATTTGGTTCGGAGCTCTTTTCGCATCCCACATTTGACTTCAAGCCATGAACCCAGGTGTTTATATGTGCCCACAACACGGAGTGGCCCCTCCACGTAGCTGGATGTGGTGGGGATTGCATAGTCCTGGTGGGCTATCGCCTTGCGTTGCACCGTGGATCCACTTCCTCTACAGTCAAGGATGATCTCTGACTTGCCCTTAGAAAGATTCGGCATAAGGCCAGCCACTGCTAGTCGGTCAAAAACAAGCCCCGCAATACGGCCAGCCATTGTGACAAGGGACTCAGCCGTCGCAGCACTAAACGATATTGCAACATCATCCGCCCAAATCGGTGCTAGTAGACCCATCCGTTCAGACTTGCTTTCATGTGCATAGGGGTTAGTTTCTGACAGCAGCTCGACCGTCACCTCTGGGTAATCCGTCTCGATGGTAGTGAAGACAGGTCGGAGGATTCTGTTAAGCGCAAAGCCAAAGGTCAAATCAGCGAACGTGTCGCCAGGGCGTGAGCCTCGTCGGCTCTGAGTCAATGTTGTTGAACCATTGACTCTGAACCATGTGGCTTCGTAAAATGACTGGAACATCGCTTTGACAAAGGCCGGTGCGTCAGAGTTCTGGATCGCAGGTCCTGGGTTCATCATCTCTTCAAACTCATCATATGCAGCTGGCGGCAGTCCAAGGCTTTGGAAGAGCTCTGGGACCGTCCTAGTGTCAAGTTCTGCAGCTACCATGTGTCGTCGAAGGAGACGATAGAATGCATTACTGACGTCAATGAAGAGTATTCCAGAACTTCGTGTTCGCTTTGCCGCAACCTGATGGTATAGTCGGATGACATGGGCAGCTTGGGTTATAGAGAAACCTGGAATTCCCCCAATCTGCATCGGGAGCCTCACGGTCTTGAACTCCTGAACAAGTTCTTTCCGAAAAACGCCATGTAGAGCCTTGCTGATTGGGGAGCTCACAAAAAGACTCCGATAGTTCCAGCAGTCCGCTACTCTACCCTTTTTGTGAACAGGTACAAGGGTGCCACCCTTGTATATCATCGCCTCGCGCGTGAACATCACCTGTTTCAGCAAGAGTGGGTAGAAAAGTTTTGCAGCAGCAACTGGCGCTCGGTGTAAGAAATCGCCAGGCACCCCGTCTTCAAAGAATGCCTTGGCGACCTTTGTGGAGCGGAATTGATGCTCAATCTGCCAAAAACTGGGTAGATCATCCCATTCAGGTCTCAGCTTCGGGATTTGTGCCAGGGAATCACATAGTGCCATAAGCTGAGTTGGTGTCTGATCTATCCCATCTTCTTGCTGAGCAAAAAATGTTCTCCATCGCTCTGCAAGTTTGTCAGTCTCGAAGATTGGTTCACCCAATTCGTCTTCCACAATAGGCAACGGCTGGAAGGGGCCTGGTTTCTTCCTACTCCTCACTCCAGAGTTGCGCATAGCCTGGTAGAAGTCACTTTGCGACATCTGTGGTGCATCTTTTGCGATCTTCTCCAACCATGCAGTCCTATCTGCTCGTAGGGCTCGTTTGAAGTCCTTTGCCTCTTGGTGGCTCTTGGCTTGCAGAGAAGTGGCCTTTGCCAAATGCCGGATACCTTCCAGAAAAAGCTGTGAAGGAAGCAGGACCCCTTTGTAGCACCACACATGCAGTATTGCGCGAACTGTCAGGGCAGCAATACAATCACGTACTTGCTGCAGTGTTGACCTGGTTTGCATGCGTGCAGCGCGCAGTGTCCACGTTCCATCACTGATATAGCTTTTCCTGGGCCCACGTTTACCAGCTGGAAAGGCTTTGGCCAAGCTTTGGGTCACTTGCTCAGAGAGCGTCGTGGCATGTCTTTCAATGTCTTCCTCCCAAGAATGACCTGGAATGTCCCGTAAGGCCGCATCAATTTCAGCGGTGGTAGCTTTTTGCAAAGACCTCCGGTCAAAGCTGCATCTTGGTCTTTTGTGGACGCAGCGGATCTTGGGGAGTAGTATCTTCATCATCAAAGGTCGGTGATCTGTAGCTCGAAGTCCTGTTTCGAGGGAATCAATGACCCATGTCGCAACTTTCACCGGTTGGGGCTCCCGCGGAATCATCAGATAGTCGCATCTTGCCTGGGCCCCATTAGCGTGGCTGATCCAAGTCCATGAGTCCCCTTGGTGTACTCCCTCAAATGTACTCGGAAGATAGCAGTCAATTCGAGCGAGTAATCGAAGGAAACATCGTCCGGCCAGATTCTGGGACTCCTCCACTCCCTCACATCCTACATAAGGCAAGGAGGCGTCACAGAAATGAGCATTAGCATCAACTCCCATGATGTAGTATTGTACCGTGTGTCTGTACTTCTCGATCAGGTCACCGAGCCGTTGCCAGAAAGCTTTGATCCTCGTAGGCTCTGCTCCTGTATGTGGAGCATGCCCATTGACCAAAAGCACACTGGTTCCTCTATAACATGCCTTCAAGAGGAGGAGCTCTGGTTCAGCTACAAGTGCATGAATCGAACGTCGATCAAAGAGTTGCTCTCCCGAACTTCTCCTTGAACGGAGCAGCCAAGTCTCCACCCCACCATGTCCTTGGTCAGCCGCCGCAGTGGCTC